GACAATAAGCTATCTTGAAAGTTTTTCAACTGTTGTCAGTCGGTTTCTCGTTTATTTTCTTTTATAAAGCATCGTAATCAACAACTGAAGATTTTTTTTTAAATTCTAGGCTTTATTTCAGACAAGTAACCATCCCCAAGATATTTAAACCAGTTTTTTATGTTCAGATATTTTTCATTTCGTTCCACATCCAAAATTTTACAAACATCGACTTTGAGTCCCAGTTCCAATTCAATCTCTGTTGTAGAGTAGTTTTCACATTGGAGGCTTGTATTTCGCTAAGTCGGTCCTAAAAGGGTCCGACGTACAAAACGTTAGGAACTTGAAATAAGAGTTAATGACGCAGCAATCTAGTTGTGATGGTTGATACTTCAATGTCCGACATCGACTGACTCACTCAACTCCACTGAGCTCAACTGGTCACTGCTACTACTACTTATTATCTGTGGGAGAGTCTATTACAATAGAATAGGTAATGTTCTGGTATAACAATCTCAGAATTGGCAAAGTCTCGATACCTGTATTTGTCCTGGCGTAACATGTCACCTGTTCTCAACTGGGTATCTATGCTAATAACACAACTATTATCAATCCGATAAGGTCAAAAGATGGCCTATAATCTGTTGTTAACTGGGACAAGAAATGGCTTGTTTATTTTTTTTTTTTAACACCTCCAAAACAAAACAGCTCTCTTTTAATCGTAAATAACCATTTTTCCCCTTCCATCCGCATGACTGATGCTAACCTCCTGGAGAGTGACTCATGGCGCCTTCTCAGGCTTATGTTTTCCGCTGACATGAAGTCGAAATATTATATTGAAACAATTGTTAGGAAAGATCATTCACTATGTCGTGTTAAGCAATTTTACTCGCATGAATCTATCATACAATTTTATAAGTCTACCATTCGTCCATGCACTGAATATTGCTATCACATCCGGTCTGGCCCAGCTGCTGTATTTAGAAATTCTTGATGAAACCCAAAGAAGAATCTGCAATTATTTCAGCCCTGACTTGGCATCTTGGCTTCAGTCACTTTCCCACCATCAAAACGTAGCTTCCATTTGCTATAAGTATTTTCATGGTAATCATTCTGATTAGATTTCCTCTTTGGTACCTCGAATTTAGAAATTTATTCGCAGTACTAGATTGGCAGTTAGGTCTCATCACTTAACACATTGACATTACTAGATGTAATCGTAAGTTCTATGCTAAAAGTTTCTTCTCACGCTCTTCTCGTTTGTGAAACTTTCTTCAGGCTTCTTGTTTTCCAGCTAATTTTGATCTTTAAAAATTTAAATGCACTATCAATCGTCATCTGTCTTAATTCCTGTTCTTTTATTGTTCTCTTTATAATGTTTTTCTCTTTCTCATATTCTTCCACGTTCAGTAACCCCATGCGTCTTTGTGGCTTTATTGCCTTGCTTGGATGTGACATGAGTAAAAAAAAAAAAAGAAGAGAATCAACATAATTAGGAGGATTTTAAATATTCATAAGTAAGTAATTCATCAAGTCTAGAAGAAACCTCATCAGAAAAGCACTGGACGGCCATTTCATCCTAATTTGGGATCATCAGCAATGCGCATAAAGAATTGAAACCCGAACAGTTAATTCAACTGTACAAACGGTTCTAGAAAAGAAACCTCATATAGCACCGCTCGAAAGCAAATGGGTGGAAACCTCCGATTTCATTACCTAGAGGATTGGGAAATACCCATATATATATATATATATATATATATATATATATATATATATATTTCCAAGAGGATCAAATCCAGGTAGATAACTACAAGACAGAGCAAGAAATAATATAAAAGCTCAAACATTAATATTCCATGGTTATAATATATTACATTGAACAGTTACGATCATTTATATTCTTTAGATATGGCAAAATTAACGCCATAAAGATGTGTCAAAAATATTTTGTTCTCGGGGACAAATGGTAATAATAACCATTTTTTCTAAGTAAATGTTCGGCATTCATTGAACGAATTAGTGCTCGATAATAAAATCTTTCTCTTAAAATGATTTTTCGGAAAATAGGTCTCTCAAGACCAGTTCAGTACTGATTTTCCTTTCTAACCTTTCGTTTGAAAATCTTGGTTATTTCAGTATTTTCTCAGAGTTACATGTGCAATTCATCTTAGTTATTGCGGCTGCTGATAGTTCTCGATTTATTTGAACTTCGTTTCTGATTCTGTAGCACAAGGTTTGAGGAAATGTGATGTTCGCCAAGACCCCCAGGCTTCACTCGCTCAAAGCCACTTTTCAACCATTAATCTTAGCGGTTGGCAGTTTAGATATTTCTGAATGGGATGTGTGCATGATTGGGTCGTTTTTTGTTTGTTTGTTTTTTTTGTTGTTTTTTTTTACGGTTTATCAGCCCCTTGCGCGTTATTTGCACTCGGATCGGTGGAATTCAGTCCCCGCTCTTCCCAAGGGTTCGCTACATGAAAAATTTTAAACTTTTTTTTTTTTAAATAAGTCATAATGGAGTCCTAGAAAATCTTGATATGTGTACATAAAATCAGCTTTGGAGTACGGTTTTGTGAAAAATGAAAATACTTTCGATACATATTAGGTCTCGTCTATTGCAATCACTTATAATAAGGAAAAATACGATATATCTTTACATTTTTGAATTCGTTTTGTTCGACTCAACCAAAAAGAATCATTCGACAAAAAAAAGCACGCCCACTTCTAGGATAGACACGATTCAGTCCGATAAAATCAGGAAGTCGCCTTCCTGAAAAATCGACCTGTTAATAACAACAACAATAATAAAAAGACGAATAAAGTATTAATAATGCAATAGATATTAATATTAATTAGTATTAATAATACAAAATACAATAATAACAAAAGAATGATAATAATGATGATGATGATGATAATTATTATGATTATTATAAAGAGTTTATTTTTTACCTGCATTTGTTTTCTAATCACATGCCGGGTCATAACGTCGGGAAAGCAAAGGGTGTGTTTTTTTGGGTTTTTTTTTTTTTTGTTGTTGTTGTTTCCACTTAATTAAACAATAGACAGATATTAAAAAAATAAATAAATGGACAAAGCTCTCCGCGGGATATGACCTGTTCTTGTTAGAAATGTTTTGTTTTTTTTTTGTTTTGTTTTGTTTTGTTTTTTGTTTTTTTTCTTGTTTGTTTCCTGGGATTTTGTTGATTTGTTGTTGAGTTCCTTTCTTTATCAGACCCAAAGCTCCAACCACAACATAAACCGTTTTAGATTTTAAGTGCCATATTTATAACTATCTCCCTCTCCAGGTCCTTGTATTTGCTTAGTTTTTCAAAATCCTTCGCAGGCATATTTTTGTCACTTGGTACGTTCATTGTGCAGCCTTTTTCTTCTCTTTATTTGTCATAGATTTCCCTAACGTGGAAAAATTTATTTGTGTGACGCATGTCATTTATTTGAACTGCACCGGACTAAAGTGGTCTTTACTTTGATGCGACCACACCGCTGGCTTTTTTTTTTTTTTTAAATATGTTTGGCTGTATAGTCTAGCCGATTTCATTTAGTTTCATTTTGCTTTTGTTCATGTTTTTATCACTTTTGTTATCAAGTATCCCACATTATGATGATAGAAGATCTGCCCTTGGGGCACTTCGAGGCAGTGTAATGGTTAGCAAGCATGTCTCGCTAGAACAATTACGCCTGCGTAGTGAGTTCGATCCTCACTGAGTGCCCCATGCTTTCGGCCTTGAGCCACATCTAAGCTACGCTTGGAAAATCAGTGGGCACCTCGGCGTGGTGTAATGCTTAGCAAGCTTGTCGCGCTAGATCAGTTACGACTGAAAAGTGAGTTCGGTCCTCACTGGGTGTCCCATACTTTCGGCCTTGTGCCACATCTAAGCTACGCTTAGAAAATAACTAGATCTGCCCTGAAATATGGCGGTCGCAGCCATAATAATGTCTGGTCGATTTGCTTTTATTATTATTATTATTACAACTACTAATACTATTACGATTATTTATTCTGAAATATCAGGGGATGCTGAAAACTTCTTACTAATTTCCCATGATCTAACCAAGCATTAGATTTTACATTTCTTTTTAGTCAAGCCGAAAACAATTCAGCAACTACGCGTCTCAAGGAGGCATATTTTTGTTTTTCCCTTTTTTTTTTCCTGCGTTGACTAATTTCCTGTTTTTGCTGTCAGATCGAATTTTTGATTTACTCCACATTTCATTCATTTTGCTTCAGTAAGCATGTTGCGTTTTCTTTTATTTCCCGTATTGTCTATAACTTTTACTACAATTAGCAACATTCACAACCTTTGTATATTCTTCCTGATGTTCTAGTAACAGTAGTAGTAATATTCCCATTTTTTTCTTTGATTTCTGTTCAATGCAATCTGCACAAATTCTGATATTAAGTGATACTTAACGTCTACAATATTCTGTTTTCTTTACGTTAATAAAAACTCTATTGAATAAATGAGCGGTTCCATGCAATGACATATTTGGAATCTCTTGTAAACAGAAACTCTTTTTTAATTAATTTGCCCCCAACCAAGCGATAATGCTACTAAGACACAAGGAGTTACTAGTAATGAAAGAGAATTAGAAGACTTTAGAAAGAACCGGAAACTCAGTCCTAAACAAAAAAAAAAAAAAAACAAGGAATAAATCTCTAGCTTAAAAGACCGGAGAGGAGTGTGAACCGGACAATAGGCGAAGCTATCTACCATTGAGAAAAAAATAAATAAATAAAATAAAATTTCAGAGTTTAGGCGGAGACGTTAGAAGTATAGAATTGGAGTAAACTTTAGAACATGACCCAAATTGTTTTTGTTTTGTAGCAATTATCAGTGTTCGTTGAAAACTTATTATTGGTAGAGGAACTACCGCAGATCTTGTTAATGCACTTGTTTGTACTATTTTGTTGATCATAAACATGCTCCAATTCTTGTAGGTATAAAATTATTTTTAAGGTACCACCTTATTTATGTATTTATTTATTTATTTTTCAGAATTTTTGGATACTTCCGATGAAGTGTGCCCAGAAACGCCTCGCGGGGACGATGACTTGCCTGGTAAGTGAAATTGTTTTAGAAATTAATATTTAAAAAAAGCACGAAGTCAAACCCACCGATATCCTGTCATATCTATATTTGCTTAAAGAAATGAGCGAAACTAATAACATTGCAGCTTATTATGTGTATTTTATCAAGGAACACTAAATACATAGTAGAATGACTTCACAATTAATAAATTGTATCCCCATCAAAAAATCTATTTTTATACTTTCATAGTGTTTTGTTTTTATTTGAGAGTTCACTATTTACCCATAGCTGGGACCCCTAACAGATGCTTCGGGTCAAGGTGAACCCGGGAGCAACAACAATGAAGAGGCGTTTCCACACTCCTCAAAACCTCCAATCTTCCGATCAGAGGTCTTGCTGCCGGATGTAGTTTATCGTCATACCCAGGACTGAGTTCGTTTTCTTAACAGGCGAAACTCTTCTTCATTTCGCACCAAAAGCTAAATATGAATATTTGTCTTTTTGAGAGAAATGAAACAGGAAAGGGACTCTCATTCAAATTGTTTACATCCGCAATAACCTAACCTAATTCATTCAAATTTGATTTGCGCTTGGTTTTCAAAATATACTCGCAGGCGGCTGAGGAAAAATACGATAAAACCTCCGTCGGGAAAATTATCAAGATTTTGTTCTTATCGACGTAAACACTCTCCACCCCCCCCCACACACACACACTCTTAAACGAACAGCTAAGAATGTTGAATGGCTATAATCATAATTTGTTGTTGTAATTGTGATCGCAGCTCCTACTAAAAATTACAGTTGACTCATTATATTTAAAAACGGTAACTCTTTGCCGCCGATAATGACATCCAATCGTCAAGCAAATGTAAGGCTGGGTCCGAAACAGCCTGTTGTTGGACACACCACCATCTTTTATACTGTCTACAAAAGCAAGCAAGGTGTAACGTGTGTTTTATATACATTTGAAGATGCGGGCTCAAGTTATAATCGTTTCTATTTATATTTTTAAGAGCCCGCATCCTCAAATGTATATATAAACAGACACGTCACACTTTGCTTACATCACAACACTTTTTGACTCCGTCACGAAACTCACGAGTTCTACGAAAGTCCCCAACTGTCTTTCCCTACCTTGATTATGAAAGTCGAAATCTTGGAGCTTATTTCTTGTACTTTTCTTCCGAAAGAAATTTCCTCATTTTATGAGAAGGATTATTCGTAATTTGGAAAAGTCAATCATTAAATTAATCGACACAAAATATCTGTTGTCTTTAATGATATTTGCCTTAATATATATATATATATATATATATATATATATATATATATATATAGTCTTAAGGTAAGCTATTTATGGGATAAAGTGCTCAATATCAGAGATAGAGCGTGTGTAAATATAAAAGTGAACATTGATATATACCACCCATTAAAATAAATAAATAAGAAATAAAAAAATAAAAATGAATAAAAACAAGCAAAATAAATTAACCCAAATAAATAAACAAATAAACGACTTCCGGCAAAATAACCGCCAAAATAGACTACCCACAATGCACCACTAACCGTATATATAAATAGCCGAGAAAAAACACACACATGGCCTGACTATTGCGTCTAGCATGAAACAGCCTGTCGCCTCTAAGTGTTGACTTCAATGTTCACTCATATATATATATATATATATATATATATAATAAATTCCGTAATTTCCCATGTATAATAAGCCTTCATCTACAATACGCACCCCTAAAATTGTGCGGAAAGTGTAGCGAAAATGCTTCTACTCACGCATAATACGCCCCACTTGTTTGGTAATTGTACCTCTCCAGTTTCATTGCAGCCAGCGTTTCCTATTCTTATTCAAGCCGTAATTGAAAATATTTATCAAAATTTCCAATCATCACGATTCTAAAAGAAAACGGAAATACGTATATTGTGCATACTGCGCAGACTCATTAACCTGTTTTTGTTCGATAAAATGTGCAAACTATAGGATCTGTATGTAATTTTTCATAAAAAATGGTTTTGAACATAGGATAATATTATTATAATTTGGTTTTATGATAATCCTTATTTTATTTTACATTTCTAAGTATTGTTAAGTACATATGATTGTATTTGATGTCCTTATGAGGTCGCAATCGCCGAATGTCAGTGTCAAGCTGTCGTATGTTTGAGATGAGTAGTCATTACGCAACTGAAATCGACCTATGAAATGGCAATTTTTTAGATTTTTTTTTTTTTTTGTAGCTGCGCATAAAAGGCATTGCTAATTTTGCTTATTTGTTAGAGAAAAAAAAGGCGTATTATACATAGGGAATTACGATATATATATATATATACAGATAGATAAAAGGTGAACTTATCTTAACCGAAGCGTTTCGTACTCTAATGTACTTTATCAAGGCAAGGGTAAGGACATTATTTTGCAACAAGTATTTATAAAAAAAAATGTTGTTACTGAATTATTTTTATAAATAGTTGTTGCAAAATGAAATACTTATATTTGCCTTGATGAAGTCCATCAGATGACAAAAATCATCGGCTAATATGTTTTCATTTGTCTTTATTCATATTGTCCTTTTATAGATATATTCTATCTTAAATTGTACACACACACACATACACACACACACACATATATATATATATATATATATATATATATATATATAAATCCGCTGCTGATAAAGCTGAATGTTTTGCCCGTAAATTCTCTTCAAACTCTACTCTTGACACATCCCTGCCTAACTTCCCACTTAGAACTGATTCTCTGATGAGTGACACGTATATAAACCCCTTCGATTGTTTCTGCTGTCATCTCTAACCTGGATCCTCACAAAGTACATGGATCCGATGGTATCCCTGTAATAGTCATGAAGAAGTGTTCTCCTGAACCGGCTCCTATTCTCTAGTTGCCTCCTACCTGCTGGAAGTCGACATCTGTTGTTTCCGTTTTCAAGAACTCTGGTGAACCGTCCGACCTTTCCAACTATTGACCTATTAGCCTTTGGGAAACTCCTAAAGGCCCTAATCAATGCTGAATTGGTTCATACTCTCTCATCACAAAACCTTTTCTCAGACCAACAATATGCTTTCGTTTCTCGAAGAGTCAACTTCTGTTGTACTGATGATAATTGCAGAAAGAATTTATCATGCTCTAGATAAAAAAAACGGTGAAACCCAGACTGTAGCATCGGACATCTCGAGAGCTTTTCACAGGTTCTGGCATTCAGATCTTTTCCACAAGCTGAAAAGATACGGCTTCGCCGGACACTTTTTTGAACTGATCCAGTCTTTCCTATCAAATCGCGATATAAAAGTTGACCTGAACGGCCACTCCTCTAGATCATTTTGTATTAATGTGGATGTCTCCCAGGGCTCCATCCTTAGTCCTACTCTGTTTTTAATTTTTATCAATGACCTTCCCGATGACATCAGTTCTCAATTTAGCGTCTACGACAACCATTTACTCCTGCTGAGTAGTCCGACGAGGTCAAAATCGCAGCCGTTGTCGAAAACGACCTTAAATGTGGTAAAAGACGACTTGCTAATTGTAAGACCTCCAAAACAATACTTCTCTCCATTAATTATCTGAGAAACTCTGTGCTGCCTTCAATCAGCATGGCTGATGCTAACCCCCAGAAAAGTGACACGCTGCGTCTTCTCAGGATAATGTTCTTCAGTTGACATGAGATGGAAAGACTATTGAATCCATTGCTAGGTCAGCTGCTAAGAAAATCAGTTCACTGTATCGTGGGAGACAATCTTTTTCTCTAGAAACTGTCTTACTTATCTAAGTCTTACCATTCCTTCATGCTTAAAACATTGCTGCCACATATGGTCCACTGTCCCTGATATTTACCTTGAGATCCTTGATAAAATCCAAGGAAGAATCCCGAAAATCATATATTTAAATAACACCCAATATCTTCAAGACCAACTATAGCGTTCTTTTAGCACGCTTAGACATCTTAGTAATTTCAAAGAATTTATGCTTACGGTCCCTGCTAGAGAGAATTGCAAAGATTTCTGTCTCACGACAACTTGTCATGGTATTCTGTACTTGGGTACTGAAAACTGTTTAGCTATTGCTCTAAAACTAATTCCTGAATTGCAAGCGTTCAAAATCCTGACAGCTTTTTTCTGTTTCGCCATGTTATTATTATTGACGCACGGCTTGAAGTAGACACTGCGCATATTCCTTACGGTAAAATTAAGTTCTTTTAAAAATTTACAACTGACATATAACTACCTTGTCATGACATAATATAAAAAATACATATTTTATGAATTTCATAAATATTTAAAATAATTTTTGACGTACGGATAAATTTGTTCTTTCCAAAGCTTTGTGTTTGTAAACCTATTGCATTAAATAAAAGGTTTCTGAAATAGATTGTGAATATTTATTCGATGCTTCAAACCATTATATATATATATATATATATATATATATATATATATATATATATATATATTCCCAAGAGGATAGAATCCAGGTAGAACTCAATGTTCAGGACAGAGTAAGAATATAATATAAAAAAGGCTTAAATATTAATATTCCATGGTTATAATTTATTACATTAAAATCGTAATCACGATCCAATTAAACCTTGGATCGTGATTACGATTCCAATGTAATAAATTATAACCATGGAATATTAGTGTTTGAGCCTTATATATATATATATATATATATATATATATATATATATATATATATATATATATATAGATTCGATATCACCTCATGGGAGGCAGTAAAGCCACTACGACACAAGGGATTACAGGGTGTGGAAGAATTAGCTACAGAAACATTAATAATGGGCGGAAGGAGAAAAACTAATCAGGAGGACAGTGGATAGCACTTGACATTGCATTTAAATTTTTGCAGATTAAAGCTGGCTGGAAACCATGAGCCAGAAAGAAGTTCCACAAGCGAGAAGTGCGAGAGAAGAAACTGTTAGCATAGAACTTACGGCTACATCTAGTCAACTCAACTGTAAAATGATGAGATTTCAACTCCAGTCTCGTACTGCGCTTTAATTCATAAAGTTTAGGTAATATAGTGAAGTGCGATATTTATTTTGCAATAAATACAAAAATGTGGCCAAAAGGGGAAATGGCGAAAGGACGTCCTTCTTTTTTTTATTATTAAACTTAGCCGGTCACAATCACTAACCCAAACATACCACAGTATTCTTTACATCAAAACATCACATTTTTAATTACTATTTTTACTAAATCCACCATAATACCTCAGAATCTCCATGAAGTTCTAACCAGTCCCTATATATACAATTCTCCTCTGTGGGGGAGGGAGGGAATAAAACAATTTAAAATCTAAACCACAATGAAGATCTCATCCAAACAATTACCATGAACGTATTTATAGAAAAGACACAGGGAGGCAACTTTACGGCGGTGGAAAAGTGACTGAAGCCGAACCGCCAGATCAAGACCATTAATATTGCAAATTATTCTTTGGATTTTATCAAGGAGCTCAAGATAAAGAGCAGGGACAGCGGACCATATGTAGCAGCAATATTCTAAGCATTGAGGAATGGTAGACTTGTAAATTAATTAAAATAATAATTTCCTTTAGTTTTTTTATTATATGTTATTAGTTCTTTAGTATATTATTATGGTATATTAAATGAAAACTATTGCTTCTTTTTCTTGTCTTATTCCGTATATATCTATCTTTAATGTATATTTTAATGTAGGGACTTGTTTCAACTCCTAGATTCCCATACATTACTGATGCGTTCTTCTGGGAGACTAGACACGGGAAGTAGATCACGTACCTAAATAACACTAGATACTTTTTTTCTGATTTAACAAATAATTAGGCAGGGTGCTTAATAAATACGTTCTCGAATATCGGTATTCGAATCCTTGGTTTACGCTGTGTTCCGACACTGACCACCGAATAATACGTCTCAAGCGTCTTTCTCTCACTTCTACATCCTCTTCTTTCTCCGTCATTTCTTTCTCATTTTCCGCCCTCTCCTTCGCCTTACTCCTTTCAGTCTTTCTCTTTACTTCTTCATCATCATCTCTATCTTCCTCTTTAACTATTTCAGTCTTTCTATCTCTTCCTCCTCGTCAGCTTCCCGCTCTTTCTCTTTCACTGTTTCTCTCTGTCTTCCTCACCTTCTCTTTCCCACTTCCATTTTCAGTTTATCACATTATCATTGCTTTCCCGCTCTTCCGCATGAAGCATTTGTCCCTCTTTTTCCCCCATCTCTCTTCTTCATCACCATCCTCATCTGGCGCTTCCTCTTTCACTATTTCATTCTTTTTCCTCATCTTCTCCACTTACCCTTTCTCTCTCTCTCTCTCTCTCTCTCTCTCTCTCTCTCTCTCTCGTCACCTCCTTCCCGCTGTTCGTCCTTCACTAATTCTCTTTGTTTTCCTCGTTTTTTTTTTCTTTCTGTTTTCACTTTTTCTCTCTCCCTGTTTTCCTCTTTCTCTTCTCCCCTTTAACTTGTCACTCTCCCTTTTGATATTTCCTCGTACTTCCTCTCTCTTCCTTTAGCAATTTCGACTCCCTTTGGTTAGCTGGCGGTATATGTCGCCAGAAAAACTCTTAGTAGCTATCTTAGTGTCAAGAGCATCTGGATGAGAAAAAAACGGCTAACGAGAATAAGTAGATAAAGGACTGCATGATGCGTTTAAGTTGGGTGGGAGGTACCTCTGGTAAGGTGGGGTTATCTGTGGTGAATTTGACAAAACATTGGCGTCTGTCTTGCTTCCATCGTCAGACAAGAAGACGCCTTCTCTTTCTTACAGCGTTGTCGGGAATTTCCGGTCATTTCCGTATGCATTTTAAATATCGTCTGCCACCTAGATGTGTGTGTGTGTGTGTGTCTGTGTGCGCCCGTGTACCTGTGTGCGTGCATCTCGATCTTTCTCTTAAGTTTTCATTCCACTCGCTCACTGTCTCGTTTTTTACATTTTTCATGTCAATATCTCTTTCTTCATTTTCTATTTCTTTGTTTTTGTTTCTTTCGATGAAGAGCTCCAGCATTTCTCTGCTCTTTCTCATTCCGTCTAACTTTTTCCATTCTTTTTATTTACTCATATTTCTCTACCTCTGCCTACGTCCCTATCACTCTCTCTATATATATTTTCTCCTTTTCTCTCTTTCTTTGCTTCTTTTTCTCTATATCCGCGACCATGCATTCCTCTATTTCCCATCTCTCTTTCTTTGCCGCTTCTTCTCCCTATCCGCGTCCATGCGTTCCCTCATCCGCCCCCCTCTCCCTCTCTGTCTCTCTCTCTCTCTGTTTCGTTCCTTGCTTTTTTCTCTCTATCCGCGTCCATGCATTCCCTCATCCGCCCCCCTCCTCTCTCTGTTTCGTTCCTTGCTTTTTTCTCTCTATCCGCGTCCATGCGTTCCCTCATCCGCCCCCTCCCTCTCTCTGTTTCGTTCCTTGCTTTTTTTCTCTCTATCCGCGTCCATGCGTTCCCTCATCCGCCCCCTCCCTCTCTCTGTTTCGTTCCTTGCTTTTTTTCTCTCTATCCGCGTCCATGCGTTCCCTCATCCGCCCCCCTCCCTCTCTCTGTTTCGTTCCTTGCTTTTTTTCTCTCTATCCGCGTCCATGCGTTCCCTCATCCGCCCCCCTCCTCTCTCTCTGTTTCGTTCCTTGCTTTTTTCTCTATCCCGCGTCCATGCGTTCCCTCATCCGCCCCCCCCCTCTCTCTGTTTCGTTCCTTGCTTTTTTCTCTCTATCCGCGTCCATGCGTTCCCTCATCCGCCCCCTCCCTCTCTGTTTCGTTCCTTGCTTTTTTCTCTATCCGCGTCCATGCGTTCCCTCATCCGCCCCCCTCCCTCTCTCTGTTTCGTTCCTTGCTTTTTCTCTCTATCCGCGTCCATGCGTTCCCCTCATCCGCCCCTCCCTCTCTCTGTTTCGTTCCTTGCTTTTTTTCTCTATCCGCGTCCATGCGTTCCCTCATCCGCCCCCTCCCTCTCTCTGTTTCGTTCCTTGCTTTTTTCTCTCTATCCGCGTCCATGCGTTCCCTCATCCGCCCCTCCCTCTCTCTGTTTCGTTCCTTGCTTTTTTCTCTCTATCCGCGTCCATGCGTTCCCTCATCCGCCCCCTCCCTCTCTCTGTTTCGTTCCTTGCTTTTTTTCTCTCTATCCGCGTCCATGCGTTCCCTCATCCGCCCCCTCCCTCTCTCTGTTTCGTTCCTTGCTTTTTTCTCTATCCGCGTCCATGCGTTCCCTCATCCGCCCCCTCCCTCTCTCTGTTTCGTTCCTTGCTTTTTTCTCTCTATCCGCGTCCATGCGTTCCCTCATCCGCCCCCTCCCCTCTCTGTTTCGTTCCCTGCTTTTTTCTCTCTATCCGCGTCCATGCGTTCCCTCATCCGCCCCCTCCCTCTCTCTGTTTCGTTCCTTGCTTTTTTCTCTCTATCCGCGTCCATGCGTTCCCTCATCCGCCCCCTCCCTCTCTCTCTGTTTCGTTCCTTGCTTTTTTCTCTCTATCCGCGTCCAGGCGTTCCCTCATCCGCCCCTCCCTCTCTCTGTTTCGTTCCTTGCTTTTTTCTCTCTATCCGCGTCCATGCGTTCCCTCATCCGCCCCCTCCCTCTCTCTGTTTCGTTCCTTGCTTTTTTCTCTCTATCCGCGTCCATGCGTTCCCTCATCCGCCCCCCTCCCTCTCTCTGTTTCGTTCCTTGCTTTTTTCTCTCTATCCGCGTCCATGCGTTCCCTCATCCGCCCCCTCCCTCTCTCTGTTTCGTTCCTTGCTTTTTTTCTCTCTATCCGCGTCCATGCGTTCCCTCATCCGCCCCCCCCTCTCTGTTTCGTTCCTTGCTTTTTTTCTCTCTATCCGCGTCCATGCGTTCCCTCATCCGCCCCCTCCCTCTCTCTGTTTCGTTCCTTGCTTTTTTCTCTCTATCCGCGTCCATGCGTTCCCTCATCCGCCCCCCCTCCTCTCTCTGTTTCGTTCCTTGCTTTTTTCTCTCTATCCGCGTCCATGCGTTCCCTCATCCGCCCCCCTCCCTCTCTCTGTTTCGTTCCTTGCTTTTTTTCTCTCTATCCGCGTCCATGCGTTCCCTCATCCGGCCTCTCATTCTTCCTCTCGCTTTGTTTCTTTCTTTGCTTCTTTTTTTGTGTATGTGTCCATGCGTACCCCGATCCCATCTCTGTCTCTTTTTCTCTATATCCGTCTCTGTGCATTTTCTACCTCCTCTCTCTCATGATTTTCTCTTTTTTTTTTCTATACCCTGTTCCATGCGTTTCTCTCATCCCTCTCTTTCTCTCTCTCTCTTTCTCTCTCTCTCTTTCTCTCTCTCTCTTTCTCTCTCTCTTTCTCTCTCTCTCTCTCTCTCACCCAGCCTCTTTCTCTCTCTGAACTTATTTGTAGTCATCACTTTCGTAGAAAAACGGTGCAAAGTAAAGGCATTGCAATCATATTCTCCTATGTACTGTTTCCCTTAAGGATGAGGGATATCATGTATCTCCACAACTTCCTCTTCTCTTTAGCTCTTAGTAAGGTTTTTCATTTCACCATCTCTCCCACACTTTGTCTTGTCATCAATTTGCAGAAGCTCCATTACATATGTTACACACTGTTTCCCATTCTGGCCATCTTGTCTTCAATATGTTCTGTGAGTGCCAAATTCTCCTAAGCCCGTTTGTCCCATTACGAGTGCCAGAAATTTTTAGTCTCTTTCTAATTCTAAGTATAAACGTCCTTTTTGTTTTCATTTTCGTTGTATCTTCCTCATTATTCACGTGTTCTGTGCATGGAATTCTCAGCATCCTTCTGCAGAACTACATTTCTGCTGCTGCTTCAAATTTCTTCTTCTGTAAGGAGATCGTCCAGCAGTCCCTGTCATATAGGAGGGCTGATATTACATAACAATTCATCATGCGTTCCTTTGTTTCTAACAAAATTGTCCTGTTTCTTAAAACTTCTTCGTCACCTCCTTCCCGCTCTTCGTCCTTCACTAATTCTCTTTGTTTTCCTAGTTTTCTGTTTTCACCTTTTCTCTCTCCTTGTTTTCCTCTTTCTCTTCTCCTTTTTAACTTGTCACTCTCCCTTTTAATATTTCCTCGTACTTCCTCTCTCTTCCTTTAGCAATTTTGACTCTCTTTGATTAGCTAGCGGTATATGTCGCCAAAAGAACTCTTAGTTAGTAGCTATCTTAGTGTCAAGAGCATCTGGATGAGAAAAAAACGGCTAACGAGAATTAGTAGATAAAGGACTGCATAATGCTTTTAAATTGGGTGGGAGGTACTTAGTAGACTGGGCATGTGAGTAATGAAGAAGATATGAGGAAAATGAAAACGAAAATGATTTTTAGAATTAGAAAGAGACAGTTGAAATTTCTGGCACACGTAATGAGAAAAGAGGGCTTGGAGAATTTGATGCTCACAGGACATTTTGAAGGCAAGATAATCAGAATGGGAAACGGTGTGTAACTTATATAATGAGCTTGTGCAAATGGATGACAGAACAAAGGAAGGGATGGCGAAAAGACAAACCTTAATTACATAACAATTCAGCACACGTTTCTTCGTTTCTAACAAAATTGTCCTGTTTCTTAAAACTTTGCTTAGCATCTGAAAGGCCTTTTTCGCTTTTCCAATAAGCCTTTATATTTCGATATCACATAAAATATTCTATTTTATATTATTTTACTATAAAAAGGCATTGCAAATTACATTACTATAACATGTAATGTGTAATGACGAAAACATTCGAACCAAAATGAGAATAAGAGATTAAATCTTTCATATTTAACATTAAATATTACTTCATTCCAATGTGTAGACCTCATTCGAACGTGAACTTTACATTCAATTCTGTGATGTCTGCGAGGCTACCAATTTTCTTAGTCGACTGGGTGTTTATATAAATGCGTGTATTACGATTCTTTCCCACGCTTACAAAACCAGATACAGCTCTTATGTCATGTGATTCTGAATTCGGCGGCTGAATGATAACCAAGTTAACAAATGCACTTGGTGTGAAACTGAGTGCAAATTCTATTCTGAAATTTTACTACACATTGCATTTTTCTATAAAATGCAATGCACATTATTTTACTATAAAATACGTGACAAAATTGTTTTACTACATATATGCATTATATATTACTAAAAAATACATGACAAATAATATTACTACAAAAATGCATTACCAATTGTATTACTATAAAAATGCGTTGCAAATAATATTACTAGAAAAAGCATTAAAATACATTGCCAATCATATTACTATAAAAATGCATTGCCAATTATATTACTTTAAAAATGCGTTCTAAATAATATTGCTATAGAAAAAATGTATTGCAAATAATATTAATATAAAAATGCGTTACCAATCATATTAGTATAAAATTGCATTGCCAATTACTATAAAAATGCATCACAAATTACATTACTATAAAAATGCATTGCAAATTATATTACTATAAAAATGCATTGCAAATTATATTACTATAAAAATGCATTGCCAATTATATTACTATAAAAATGCGTTCTAAATAATCTTGCTATAAAAAAAAGTATTGCAAATAATATTAATATAAAAATGCGTTACCAATCATATTACTATAAAAATTCGTTATCAATTATTTTGCTATAAAAAAGATTTTTCGGGTTTTATTTTATAATCATTTTTATGCCAAATTCTGTTTTCACTAATCTTTCTGTCTTTTTGCAGCTTTTGATTTTATATCGAAGTATGAGTTAGACAGTCGGCGAAATATTCCGGGTGTTTTACGAGTAAAAGGTTCAAGCGACCCCCAGGTGGCCTACAAAATATCAAGGCGAGCTAAATTACGTATTCCCACGAGGTATGTAGTGTTCTGCTTTACTACGCTCACGCACGCACGCATGCGCGCACGCGGGTGGATCAATTAGTCTATAGCCTGACAGGAAGATTTTCGCTAAATTTGGATCTAAAATTGTCACTGAATAATGTTCGATCGTTGGGATTAATGTTGTAGACTAGAAATCAGCGTACTTCCTGCTCTTCCCCATGACTGTGCCAATGGACTACGCCTACTTGGCAAGTAGTCTCATTAGAGAGTATTTGATTTACTCAAGTATTTCCGTCTTATATAGGAGTATTTAATAAACCTTGTTTTCCTCTAACTAATCTTCTGTTCCTTCGATACTCTAACTACGAGTTATTTTTAGATTCAGTTTTATTATGTCTGCTGTGGTCAATAAATGGAAGATCATTTTATAAATTCGTCGAGATACAAAATTACCATTCCACTTCGTTAATCTATTATTAACCAGCGTAAGAATTGATCCAGAATCGACTGGCAAGAAGGGTCATAATTAGTTGTCGTAGACCCTGACTGACCCTGCGTGCCGTATCGGGAGTTTGTTCAACAAAGTACCAGAAGTTGTCTGAGTGGAACTTGATTTTTGATTAAAGTAACGCGAAGGAAATATGGAAAGTTTGCCACCATGAACCCTACGCAGAGGGTCCTAGCTGTGAAGATCTGAGCTGGTGATATTAAGGAATGTAACTCGGCCGAACATCTTCCATAGTAACAGCGATATAGTAGTGAAAGGCTGACGATGTTTCGTCTGTGGGATGAGGATTGTAGGGTAGAAGAAATTAATCATTCGCAAGAACGCGTTAGCGCTTTTGAATTCTGTTGATGTTGAACAGTGAGAATTGGCTATCAACAACCCAAATATGGCAGCAATGCTCCATTCTTGGCCTGGTCTGTTTCTTGTAAATGTAGAGCATGGCAGCAGGAGTGTGGTATTTTCTGGGACGATACAATTAACCAACCATTCTTCCAGAATCTTGTTTTATTTGAGGTCCGAAGTCATCTTTAGCCCTAGCAGGCGTTCAAGGTAAAGAACCTCTTTGAAGGTATTACCACTCATCGGGATTGGCGCAGGTTTAGGTTCTACTCCGGGCTGATGAAATGCTACGAGTTTAGTTTTGGATGTACTGACTGAGATCAACCATTTTTTCCTCGTTGATCTGTGAGAAGTCAGAGGAGGGATCACTTGGAAGGTACTGGTTATCAAGATATTTTGAGGTGCAACCTGTGCTATCATCTGCGTATATATTTAATAAGGATCCAAAAGTGTTCTTGGACAGATCGAGAAAGGTCAAGCAGAAAGAGGGTAAGATCGTGCCGAGAACTTTGGGGGATGCCTACACGGATCTTATTTGGCTAGTGGTCATTAACACTGACCTATCTCACAGGAAATACACTCCCAGTGATTCCATGGAAACAAAGTAAAGAAATATTGTATAAATTTGACAAGGCTGATCAAAGAGACAAGGAAATTTATAAACAGATTTAGATAGATAGATAGATATACTGAGATACATGTGAAAAGTGGCTAGAATGATATGGATATAATGGGGTATATTAATTGATATTAAGAGACAGAATGAGATACGAACAAGTCCAAGCATATATCAAGAAATATGGAAGACATATTGTCTCCCACACCTAAATTCAAACGTACTTGGTGCATTCCAGAAGTTTTGAGACTTTTTCAGTAGAGACATTTATTAATTTCAAAGAAGTGCAGAATTCTACTAACATTCAAAGTAGGATCCTCTGACTTCAATGCGTTTCTTGTAGCGGTCCTGACACTTCGTGAAGTCTCAATTTAAGTCATCCAAAGTGAAGGTGTCCATGATCCTTGTCACAGCTTCTTTCATCTTCTCAATGTCTTCAAGATGATTTCGCCTGTGGTTCTCCTTCATCTGGCAACAACCAAAATTTACATTGAGCGAGGTCAGGACTGTAGCTAGGGCAGTTTTAATGCACATCTGTCAACACAAAACTTTAGCGAGCTTTTAAATTGTCTCCACGTCGCGTCTGCATTTTTCAAACTAGTTAAGAGACATTTCAGCTGTCTCCTTCAATTTGGGATAACAAAATTTGGCAGGTCAGCTTATTAAATGTATATTAATGATTAACTAAAATCATAGTATTCTTAGAGAGTTATAATGGCATCTCCTCAAAAAGACCCGAAAGCTCTAGAATGCACCTCGTATTGAATCAATCAATGAACAAAAAAAAAAAAAACAGAAAAAATATTGATTTTTTTCCCTGTTTTCTTTCTAATGTTTTAATCATTTCTTTATAGGGCTTTGTTTCGGCGTGGCCTTCCTGAGCAGTTTTCATTTGTTAGCACCATTATGATGTCGGGAACAACACGTAAAGCAATTTGGAATCTAATAAAAATCGTCAACCCAGCCGGAGATCCACAAATGGGCATCCGACTAAATGGTAAAAAGAGAACAGTGGATTTTTACTATAAGAATCTCGATAACAACGTCTCCACATTGACTTTTACCAAAATAAAAAAGGTAAGCATTATATTTGCCTCACAAAATTACGCAGCAGCCAACACGGTTTCAATGGTTTGCTTGCAGAAAGGATTACTGGTAGATTCGAGTATATCAAGGAAGTCAAAGTTTGTCTGTCTGACAATAGTTAGTAAAATATTGGTAAAACTAAATGTTTCCTTAGCTTTTGCTTCGAGAAAGCAACTCTGAAAATGTTTTCCCTTCATCTGGCTCAGTTATAAATGGCAGTTAATACTGAAAAGGCAGTTGTAGGTTTTCTCCGTTCTCTTCAACACTTGGTGGGGCTTTCTTAAAATGAAAGACAGCCTGGCAGAGTGTCAGTCGCGATGTCTATCTATATGTATCGATCTTAGACTGTTCATGTCTGTCCACCTCTCTTAGACAGTCCACGTGTGTCCACCTCTCGTAGACAGTCCACGTGTGTCCATCTCTCGTAGACGGTCCACGTGTGTCCATCTCTCGTAGACGGTCCACGTGTGTCCATCTCTCGTAGACGGTCCACGTGTGTCCATCTCTCGTAGACGGTCCATCTCTCTTTGACTGTTCATATCTCTATCTATCTTAGGCTATTCGTTGCTATCTCTCTCTCTATCGAACTTAGTTTGTTTATGTCTACGTGTCTATTTTGAACTGTGCACATGTTATAGTCTATTCACATCTATCAATCTCAGACTATTTATATATATATATACATATATATATATATATATATATATATATATATATATATATATATAATGAGAGAGACAAATGTGTTTGATTTCAGTTAAAAAATAGAAAAAAACAACAAAATACGAACAGGAAATTTTTACAGTACTACTGGTTAATATATATTTCTTGCTGGCTTTCGTGAAGATGGGTGTTTCCTTTTGATGTCAACCCACTTTTAACTGATTAAGGTAATACTGGACAGGTATGTCCTATTATTGTGACTGCAAGTGGCGGGGAGGGTAAATAGAGGATTAATTTTTACGGGACCCTAGTCTTATACGTGTCTTTTCTCCTGAACATTGATTTGGCGGGCTTTCTCTAAATGGAAGAGAGAGCGCCTTCAAGCGTATTTGACGCCATCTTTCCTATGACCTGCTTGTTATTTCTTTGTGGAATCCTTTCTTTTAAGGACTTGGGTTAATTCAGCAAGCAGAAAATCTTTGTACATTATTTACATTATTCGGACTATTGTCCTCATCTTTGTCGCAATATTTATTACAACGTTTCGGTCGTTGTACGCTCCGGCCTTCTTCAGGTGGTTGGAATGTCAAACTGAACCCTTTATTTCGCTCAGTGGGGTAGACGTACCATGTTTTAATGGATGTCAGTTATCAGTTATCTCCTGCTAATTTCCCGCCGCTGCTTTAACCGAGTATTGAACTCACACTCTTTTGGCCCTGTCACTGTATCTAACTAACGCCTTTATCCACTGTGCCATGTGTTCTTGAGGACATCTGTGTATGAATTTCTTGGTATTATCAACCTAATGTCTTCAGCAACCTTTTTTACCAGTGCTCATATTGCAATTTTTGTTATTATCGCTTTTCTCTGGCACTCCTTATTACTGGTTCCCATATTGTAATCATTTCTATGCTTGGTCGGTTCAGAAGATTTTTGTGGCCTAGCATATGTGCTGATTCTTTGAGTTTACGAATTTTCCAATGGTGTTCTTTGTCTATAATCTTTCTCATAGATAGCGGTGATCTCCCTTCTCTCTCCATATGGGATCAGCCACGCCTGATTTTTCCACTTCCCCTCGTGTTACAGTTTCTGGTGTTCTTGAAGCCTTACCTTAAGAGGGCGGCCTGTCTCCCCTTTATATTTCTTTCCACAGCTGCACGGGATAGCGTACACACTGTATTTAGTCATGTTCTCCTCTATGGGGGGGGGTCTTACTTGGGAGAGATATCTGGGAAGTGTCGTCAAACTTTTGAAGGTTGTCCTGATGTTATATGGACTGCAGATCCTTTGTATCTTACCTGATAACCCCTTCACCTAAGGCAGGCAGACTGTTTTCTGAGTGTTGTTGTCTTGTACCCGCCTACCCCAATTTTTTTTTTTTTTTTAGCTGATGCCATGTACCCAGGATAGTTTTTACGTTGTAGAAATTCATACCCAGATGTCCCCAAGGACACATGGCACAGTGGATAAAGGCGTTAGTTAGATCCAGTGACAGGACTCAAAGAGTGTGAGTTCAATACCCGGTTAAGGCAGTGGAGGACCGGGAGAGGGGAATTAACAGGAGATAACTGATAACTGACATCCATTAAAACATGGCACGTGGAAGTAGAACAGTCTACCCCTGTGAGCGAAATAAAGGGTTCAATTCGACATTCCAACCACTTGAAGAAAACCAGAGCATACAACGGCTGAAAAGTTGTAATAAATATGGCGACAAAGATGAGAACAATAGTCCGAATAATGTAAATAATGTACATAATACCTCATCTCAGAAATATAGACAGATACAGAAAATATTTGCTAGTTTTCCACCTTAAACTTCGACTAGCCGAGTGTCGGCGCCATTTGTAAAGCGTGGACTCCATGTTTGTGACATTAGTCATTTTTGAAGACTTCAGGATATTGGTGTTGCATATCTTGTTGGTACGGTGTATTCTATATAATGTGAACGCAGCGATGATAGATGAGGTTGATGGAATTTATAAACTGGCCAACTGACTGACACCACCATAAATAGAACGCCAACAGCAACAATTGACCCTTTTATTAATGTCAACATGTTGATGACTTCATTTTATTTTTTTACTGGTCGGCGCTTTCTTAATACTGTACGTTATATTTTCTTCTCCTTATTCTCCACAACTGAAAACGTTTTCGAGTTTTCTTTATGGTTTTTGCTTCTTATAAAATTTAATCTGACGTCATTTTTTAAGGTCTGCTCCAATATATATATATATATATATATATATATATATATATAAAAAAAGCAGTTAATGGATTTTTAATCTGACATTATCTTTTATTACGATAAACATTATATTTATTTGGTATACGTGATTCAGTAGACACCCCTTTTTATTTTTTTACTATTTTTAACAATGAAATTAATATCTTCCGACCGAGAGAAGAGTTCCTGTCTGGTGGCCCATTTACTTTACTACGATTCGGTCTTTAGGCCGACAGACATTAATTTCCCCGTCAAAAAAAAGGGATGTCAACTCACTAAATTATAACAGAAAAAGTGACAACTATCAGATGAATGCTTGTAAAGAGCATCTGCTGCTTCACTTAAGAATGAAAAGTAGTTATTTCGACCTGCAGACGGGAGTGTAAACACTAGCTATGTCGACCTGTAGATTGAAGTATAAAATAAAAATATATTTCGACATTATGTAATCCAACACTACTTGATATATTTTAAAATCTTCTACCACACGCACACACAAACACACATACACAGACATATATATATATATATATATATATATATATATATATATATATATATATATAATAGTTTTAAGGTATGCTATATTCAACACCCAGCGGCGACAGTCTGTTTCATGCTTAAACACAGTCGTTAGGCTTGACAATTGCATTTAAGCATGAAAGAGGCTGTCATCTCTGGAGTTTGACCTCAATGTTCACTTGATATATATATAATAGACTCTCCCGTCGAGTTCGATGTATGAGGTTCCGATGACCAAGAACTAATTATCTGCATGCCTATGACGGGCATGACTTTTGAGACCGGTACGAGAATTGCACAAAAGACCACAAACAGTACAGGAGAACGTATTGTATCCAAGTGCAGCAAGAATATTGTTAGCTGCCTTATTTTGCTTTCATGTTTCAAGCAGTCGACTGATGCTTACTTTTTGATGGTGCATTATTCCTGAATGGCAGCTAGAACGATACTATGATCTCTTCATAGCTACCTCTTCAAAGTTCCTGAATGGAATGTTGACACAAGAAAGGTTGCTCTGCAGTTTATCGTTATACCTGAGCCAAGGTCTACCTATATATATATATATATATATATATATATATATACACACACACACACAGATTTGCGATACCTAAGGTTTAACATGAATTTGTAGAAATGAAAAATCTTTCTCGAAGCTTTTCTTTTAGGTTTAATTTGAAGCTGATATATTAAATTTAATATTTCCAATAAGCAAATAAACTTTGCTGTATTCTAAAACTAATTTCATCGTTTGGAAGGACTTTTCGTTTTGAATTGCTGAGTTCTTTTTTATTTTAGCAGCATTTTTATCGACCTGTCGTCAGAATGTAATTTTCTATATTAAAAAATCATCCAAAAATAAAATTTACTTTTCTTAAACATTATTTTGGGAATATTAGCTGATTTAAAGTATAATTAATCTGATTTAAAACAAATATTATTTACTTTAAGTTTAAAATATCGCAGAAATGAATTTTTTAACACATTTCTTAAAATTTCTGAAAATATTCTGCGTAGTCTAATGTCTTATTGTGTTGTGGCTATGTTAGGGCCATGAATAAAGACATAAAGAGAGGAATTGAGTTATATATATATATATATATATATATATATATATATATATATATAACAGAAACAGTAATACAAAATACATACAAACGAGCAAGAATGTTCGGTTCGACTGTCAGAACTGACTGCTGGAAACGACACTCACCAAAAGGCAGTACCTGCTTCTATTTATGGTTGGGAGAGTCCATGTGTGCATGGGTAAATTACCATAACATATTGAATTTTAAATATTTTGGCTTGAAGAATGTTTCATTAAAATCTGACAAATATTTGATTTTTGCAAGAATTTCCAAATCGATGTGTCATTCACCGCAAAAAAAAGACGCTCAAATTTGGTATGCTACTTTATAGTCAATCACCTGACACAAGAAAAACAAGATCTTCAACCAAATTTCTTTTTCTTTTCGGGGTTCAAAATGTGTAAAAATTGTTCAAATGTTCTGCATATCCGAGCGCTTTCGGCTATTCTTTTAGCCATTATCAAGGATGAATTCCGTTTTTTTTTTTTTTTTTTTTTTTTTTTTTTAACTGAATGTATCGATATTTTATGTATGTATCTAGAGTTATTGAAATGTTTTTTTATTATTTATTTACCAAACTTATGGAAATGTTCATAGTGTGTATATATATATATATATATATATATATATATATATATATTGTGCGATGGATAAATTGTCGTCTAAATTATGCAACAGGTAAAATAACATTGACCATTGACATCTCATTTTAACAGATATATTTACCAAAATTACACAAAAATGTCTTGAAATACTAGATAGTAAATTTTTTCACTAAAATCGCCATTGGCTTCAATCACGGTCTCACGACTTCAGAATGTCCTACATCTCTTCTCGACGGTCTCCTTGCTTAACTTAGTGAATGCTGCCAT